CCTCAAAATGGAACTCAGGATGATCTTGAGTGAATCTTTATTGGAGCTCCAGGGGCAGCCGTGGAATAATTTCCATAAAAGTCCACCCCAGGGGTGACTAGCTTGATAGGTTTTAGAAAATCAACATAATTGATCAAAAGCACCAATTAGGAGGAGAAGGGGCGATGTAATTCCTCCCAGGCGATAAAAAACACCACTTAGGGGGACCACTAAACAGTGGACTATTAATTCCACTAATTAGGGAATTAGTGCATGAATTCCCCCCAGGTCCAGCCCCTTCTCTGGAGCCCCCCACCCTCGGGCCCAGCGGGATTTGTGGGTGAAAATGGCTCTCCAAGATCTCTTGGTTCCCAGGAAAAACCAGGATAGGATAAGAACTTAGAGCTCTGGAATGGGTTTGGCTTCCCATCTGGGGAAAAGGGAAGGGAAGAATCCTGGGAAGGTGAGAAATAGAGAAAAGGGAAAAGGCAAAAACCCTGTGGCATCATTGGTTACCAGGGGGTTGGGGAAAGCTTAGTTTTGCTAAGGATTATATGGAAAAAATGAAGGTTTCTCTCATTACTCATCTAAAAACCCAGAATWTCTGCCCTAAAGGAGAGTTTTGAGYATTTCCTTATGAACAGATTAAAATATTTTCAGTAGAGAGTGGAAGTGATTCTGCACCCACCCTGCGAGTCCTTGGATGGATGAACAAAGCCTTGGGGTTTGAACACCTCAAGGAATTCTCTTTCCTCCATCTGCTTTTGGGTCTTTTCCCTTTGTGCTTGAGCTGCCAAGTGCAGAAATCCAGGAATTCATGGTGCTGGGTGCAGAAATCCAGGAATTTATGGTGCTGGGTGCAGGAATGCAGAAATTCATAGTGCWGGGTGCAGAAATGCAGGAATTCACAGTGCTGGGTGCAGAATTCCTGTTAATAAATCGCTCTGTGCAGCGCAATATCAGCAATGCACAATTAAATCCTATTTTAACAACACCACCAATATTTCTGAGTCACTTTTCCACCCCAAAGAGAGGTTTGCTCCCCAAAAAGGGACAGTTGCTGACTGTGCCTCCCTTGCAGCACCGAGTATGCCATCAGCAAACTGCGGCAGGAGGGCAACGAGGTGGGAATGTACGTGCTGCGCTGGAGCTGCACCAACTTCAACCACATCCTGCTGACTGTCACCTGCCTGGAGGGCTCTGAGGTACGGCCAG